GGGCAGCCAGGCACGGAACGCTCTGGCGTGTAAAGCTGCTGCTCCTGCTCCACAGACCTCCGTCTCCGGCCCGCCGCTCTTCCTGGTCAGCAGCTGGCAGCGCTGTGCCGACTGCGTGCCGGGCTGGGAAAAAGCCTCCGGTGAAGGGCGGATCCCAACGTCAATCGGCCCGCCCGGGGGTAGGAGGGCCCAGCACAGGAAATCCCTCCCCCATGCCCACATAGGGGGGCGCCATTTTGTATCCGTCTGCCTTCCACGGAGAGGAGCCGCCATTTGGGGACACTCTGTAACCCACGTGTTCCCGCGCCCTCTGAGATTGCCTGAGTCAAGTTTTTGTAATGTCGCGGTCTTCTCAGGTCTGCCCCTGAATGGCTGCCCGCTTCCTTCACGTACGTCAGGGAGGGCTCTGACGTAGAAACGCAGGTGCTTCTATGCAACTGTGCGGCCCGGACGATACTGTTAATCCAAGGATGCATTTCCCCACAGAGCATTCTGAGTAGCTACCTTCTGCGTAGGTGGAAACGCTGTGCATAAGCAGAGCATCCTCCTCTGCGCAGCCTTCTGCTGCGGCAGCCTTTGGGCAGAAGTAGAGCCCCTTCCTTTGGAAGCGCCTCGGCAGACTCAGGGCCCGTAAGCCACGACATTACGTCCCCGTGCTACCGGATGCAGCGTAGGCGACACTCTAACAGCAGTGCTGCTACTCTCTGTTTGTGCTGCTGCACTACGCTAGGGAATTGTGCTGGGTCTGGCTAGGGCAGAGGTCTTTTCCTCCTGGCAGGCACCTGTCAAGCAGGTTTGGGAACTGGGGCGCAAACAGTGCTGATCACACAGCCACATTAAGTGCTGTAGCAGAGCACTGCTTCCACAGAAACCGAGGACGTTTCTGCTTCTTATGCTCTCCTTCATGCCAGGAGGCTGGAGTTGCACAAGAAGTCTGCAGGGGAACACAGCCGGGACCCTGGCCCAAACTGAAGCAAGGGCGTATTCCGCACCGCCTACCGACATGCTCCGCAGTAAAAGCCAACCTGGGAAGGAGGCATGAGGGCGTATTGCGAGCGATGCCGTTTGTCTTGCCAGCAAACTGCCACACGTGATGGGCCCCGTTTTCCTGGAAGCGCCTGAACAGCTATCTGCCTGCCAACGGGAAGCTGGAATTGAATCCCGCATTTTGCTTTGCTCCTTCTTGCGGCCTTGGCTTTGCCTAGGAAACTGCCTTCAGCCTCTCCCGTGACTCCTCGCACATTCACCTTGCCGGTACTGTCCACGGTGTCGGCCGGGGAGGGAGAGCAAACAACTTTCTGCTCTTTAGCCGGGCATCGAGGGTTATACCCCAACAGCGATAAGTAACCCACAGACACATCTCTGCAGACAGAAGTTAAAGGTACGGATATGCCTTAGAAAGCACACTTCTGTCTGAAACGGAAAGGCCACTTGCCAATCACGGCCTTTGGGCCCACCAGCCCTGTTCTTCGGTACCTCTCAGGCCGCAGGTGCCGCAGCACGATTCAGCCCCGCATTTCCAATCGAGTGTGTGGCTTGAAGCCAGAGGGGACAGGATTAGCCTGACACACACCCCTCCCGAAGAACGTGGGGCCTTGTCCTTCCTTTGCTATGCAGACAAGAGATGGCTCTTGGGCATCAGCACGCCCTGGAGCGCACAAACACAGTCACAAGGTGCAGCTCTACGGCTCTCTCACCTTCCCTGCTAACAACAGCAGCTGTCTGGCTTGCCCTCCCAAAACGGGGACGGAACGGCTCCCCAGAACTCTCAGAGAGCCCTCCTCCCTATCCGGGAATCTGCAGTTTCAAGCCCTCCTGACTACGCCCCTTGCGCAACAGAGCACCTCTTACCACTCGGGCAGCCAGGCACGGAACGCTCTGGCGTGTAAAGCTGCTGCTCCTGCTCCACAGACCTCCGTCTCCGGCCCACCGATCTTCCTGGTCAGCAGCTGGCAGCGTTCAGCTACGCGTGATGCCCAGCAGAGCACCTCCAGCCGCTCGGCCGGAGAGCCGCCGGGCAGCACGGCCGGCGCCTGTAGCTGCTCAGAACAGCGGTTCCTCCAGCCTGCCGTTCTTCCCGGCTACCAGCTGGAGGCGCTGGGAGGAGTGCGTGCCAGGGCAGGGATAGAGCTGCGGGTGAAGGGGAGGACCCAGAGCTACTGGGCCCGCCCGCCGGTAGGATGGGACAGGACAGAAAATCCCTCCCACCTACCTACACAGGGAGGCGCCATTTTGTTCCAGTCTGCATCCCAGGGTGAGGAGCCGCCATTTCATGAGCCGGCGGAGGCGCCATTTTGTTCCAGCTTGAATTCCACAGACGGGAGCCACCATTTTGTGACACTTGGTCAGCCACGTGTTTCCGTACTGCTCTGAGATTGGCCTCTCTTCTAATGGCAGCCGCCTTCTCAGGATTCCCTCTAATTGGCTGCCCAACTCCTCTGGCCCACAAAGTGCTCTGATGTTAAAATACATTTGTTTTGATACAATCGTCCCGGCGGTAGGGGGGCAGGGGCCCAGGTGCTGGCACTGTGGCTTGCCGGCTGCCTCTGAGGAGAAGGCAGGAATGCCCCGTGTGAAAACCAGCCGTTTCCACCCAGCTCCAGCGGCACTGCCACAAGGCACAACTGAGCCCTGCACGCAAGGTGGAGGCGTCCTGGGCAAAACGTGCCTGGGAAAGGGCGAGACGGGGCAGGATGCTGCCCAGCAGTGGGGAAAGAGGGTGGAAAAGCGTGAGAAACAGCCGCGTGAATGCCGAGGAGAGATGCTGAGGAGCGCGCGGTGGAGAGGGAGGAGGAGAAGGAGGCGGAGCGTGAGGAGGAGGAGGTGGCGCCCGAGCAAAGAGCGGAGACAAAGCATGGGCAGGAGGAGAAAAAGAAGGAGGTGCTCCAAGCACTAGGACTCTCAGAGACTCTCCCGCAGCCCCTGCTGGAGGCGGCGGGCACGCCGCTATACCCCAAGGGATGCTGCAGCCTGCTCAGAGCCCACACAGGTACAGCGGAGAAGCGTGAGGAGGAAGGATGGAGTGGCAGAGCAGAGCTGTGGAGGGACTGACCGCTACCGGCCCCGACCCCTGCACCTCTCACGCTGCGGGGAGGTCAGGACTCACGCGTGAAGGAGGGCGTTTGAGCTCGGGGAAGAAGTTCAGGGCGGTCTGGTGCTTTCGTTTCTCACCATCCAAATGCTCCAAAATGTCCAACGTCCAAAAATGTGCAGTGACATCAAGCAGCTTCCCCCACGTCTGTTCTGCTCCGCCTCTGGTGAGCGAGCTCCCTAGCCTTATCTTGACCCACGAGAATTCCCGTCCTGTACCCTACTCCGTCCCGTTGAGGACACTGAGTGAGACGGTAGCTGGGTGCGCATTGGGCTGCTGGCCGAGGCCAGCCCACCTCAGCAATCTCTACAATGTATTCAGGTCCAGAATTATAGAAAGGACTTGATCAGTGTAATTGAAAATATTTTCTCCATTGCTACGTAGCTACACTAGATGCCGGACTACTCTCTGTACCGTACTGCTATACTACACTCGGCAGTTGTCTGGGATACTGCTCCTTTTCCTCGTACCGCCTCGTACAGTTTGACGGGCTCTTTTGCATTTCTTGACCAAAATGGTGGTGCCAACACATCCATGCTGCAGTTCCTGCTCTTGTTGCAGAGCAGCGCCCACACAGAGCCCAGGACTTTTCTGCTTCTTACGGCACCCTGCCCGCAAGGAGGCTGGGAGTGCACCAGAAGATGGCACGGGACACAGATCGGACAGCACCAGGCTGCTGGCCAACGTCAGCCTGACACAGCTATATATACCAATTACGCATACGTTGAAACGCACAAAGAACTTCATAAAGGTAAGCAAAGCTTTTCTTAACCTTCCCATCAGCTACACTGCATACAGAACGAGAGAAGAGCTTGTGATGTGCACTGAGCCCTGGGATCCTAGAAGTGGCTGGATGCTTGCCCATTAAAGAGAAGTGGCAAATGTTTCCCTTGGCTTGCAGGCGTGGGTTTTCTTTTACCGAGTAAACGGTCTTTGCCTAAACCCGTGTGTGCTCCCAGTTTCATCCTTCCGATACTTTCCCCACCGCAGCTGGGGAGACTGCGTGGTGTTCGGTTTTCTGCCAGGTTAAGCAGCAACAAGTACACATAACAGGCACACAGGCAGCTAGGTCGAGCAGTTAAACGTATGCCTGTATTCCTAAAGGGGTAGATGTGAAATGGGCAGGGCGTTCCTTCCTGCCAGCTAACACAATAAAGAATTTGACTTTCAGGGGGAATAGAAACGGTCCAACGTAAGCACAAGGCCATGTCAGCGACCTGCCCTTTCCCAGTCTGCAGAAAAGCCACTGGCACATCAGCGGTTGGGGGAGCTTCAAGAGGGTGGAGGCTTGGCAGAAAACCGAGCCGGTGCGGAAAACCACTCCTCAAAAGCCATGCCTAGCATCTTCCCACATGCCCCGAATTCTGGATTTGGGCTCGTTCAGCTACGCGTGATGCACAGCAGAGCACCTCCAGCCGCTCGGCCGGAGAGCCGCCGGGCAGCACGGCCGGCGCCTGTAGCTGCTCAGAACAGCGGTTCCTCCAGCCTGCCGTTCTTCCCGGCTACCAGCTGGAGGCGCTGGGAGGAGTGCGTGCCAGGGCAGGGATAGAGCTGCGGGTGAAGGGGAGGACCCAGAGCTACTGGGCCCGCCCGCCGGTAGGATGGGACAGGACAGAAAATCCCTCCCACCTACCTACACAGGGAGGCGCCATTTTGTTCCAGTCTGCATCCCAGGGTGAGGAGCCGCCATTTCATGAGCCGGCGGAGGCGCCATTTTGTTCCAGCTTGAATTCCACAGACGGGAGCCACCATTTTGTGACACTTGGTCAGCCACGTGTTTCCGTACTGCTCTGAGATTGGCCTCTCTTCTAATGGCAGCCGCCTTCTCAGGATTCCCTCTAATTGGCTGCCCAACTCCTCTGGCCCACAAAGTGCTCTGATGTTAAAATACATTTGTTTTGATACAATCGTCCCGGCGGTAGGGGGGCAGGGGCCCAGGTGCTGGCACTGTGGCTTGCCGGCTGCCTCTGAGGAGAAGGCAGGAATGCCCCGTGTGAAAACCAGCCGTTTCCACCCAGCTCCAGCGGCACTGCCACAAGGCACAACTGAGCCCTGCACGCAAGGTGGAGGCGTCCTGGGCAAAACGTGCCTGGGAAAGGGCGAGACGGGGCAGGATGCTGCCCAGCAGTGGGGAAAGAGGGTGGAAAAGCGTGAGAAACAGCCGCGTGAATGCCGAGGAGAGATGCTGAGGAGCGCGCGGTGGAGAGGGAGGAGGAGAAGGAGGCGGAGCGTGAGGAGGAGGAGGTGGCGCCCGAGCAAAGAGCGGAGACAAAGCATGGGCAGGAGGAGAAAAAGAAGGAGGTGCTCCAAGCACTAGGACTCTCAGAGACTCTCCCGCAGCCCCTGCTGGAGGCGGCGGGCACGCCGCTATACCCCAAGGGATGCTGCAGCCTGCTCAGAGCCCACACAGGTACAGCGGAGAAGCGTGAGGAGGAAGGATGGAGTGGCAGAGCAGAGCTGTGGAGGGACTGACCGCTACCGGCCCCGACCCCTGCACCTCTCACGCTGCGGGGAGGTCAGGACTCACGCGTGAAGGAGGGCGTTTGAGCTCGGGGAAGAAGTTCAGGGCGGTCTGGTGCTTTCGTTTCTCACCATCCAAATGCTCCAAAATGTCCAACGTCCAAAAATGTGCAGTGACATCAAGCAGCTTCCCCCACGTCTGTTCTGCTCCGCCTCTGGTGAGCGAGCTCCCTAGCCTTATCTTGACCCACGAGAATTCCCGTCCTGTACCCTACTCCGTCCCGTTGAGGACACTGAGTGAGACGGTAGCTGGGTGCGCATTGGGCTGCTGGCCGAGGCCAGCCCACCTCAGCAATCTCTACAATGTATTCAGGTCCAGAATTATAGAAAGGACTTGATCAGTGTAATTGAAAATATTTTCTCCATTGCTACGTAGCTACACTAGATGCCGGACTACTCTCTGTACCGTACTGCTATACTACACTCGGCAGTTGTCTGGGATACTGCTCCTTTTCCTCGTACCGCCTCGTACAGTTTGACGGGCTCTTTTGCATTTCTTGACCAAAATGGTGGTGCCAACACATCCATGCTGCAGTTCCTGCTCTTGTTGCAGAGCAGCGCCCACACAGAGCCCAGGACTTTTCTGCTTCTTACGGCACCCTGCCCGCAAGGAGGCTGGGAGTGCACCAGAAGATGGCACGGGACACAGATCGGACAGCACCAGGCTGCTGGCCAACGTCAGCCTGACACAGCTATATATACCAATTACGCATACGTTGAAACGCACAAAGAACTTCATAAAGGTAAGCAAAGCTTTTCTTAACCTTCCCATCAGCTACACTGCATACAGAACGAGAGAAGAGCTTGTGATGTGCACTGAGCCCTGGGATCCTAGAAGTGGCTGGATGCTTGCCCATTAAAGAGAAGTGGCAAATGTTTCCCTTGGCTTGCAGGCGTGGGTTTTCTTTTACCGAGTAAACGGTCTTTGCCTAAACCCGTGTGTGCTCCCAGTTTCATCCTTCCGATACTTTCCCCACCGCAGCTGGGGAGACTGCGTGGTGTTCGGTTTTCTGCCAGGTTAAGCAGCAACAAGTACACATAACAGGCACACAGGCAGCTAGGTCGAGCAGTTAAACGTATGCCTGTATTCCTAAAGGGGTAGATGTGAAATGGGCAGGGCGTTCCTTCCTGCCAGCTAACACAATAAAGAATTTGACTTTCAGGGGGAATAGAAACGGTCCAACGTAAGCACAAGGCCATGTCAGCGACCTGCCCTTTCCCAGTCTGCAGAAAAGCCACTGGCACATCAGCGGTTGGGGGAGCTTCAAGAGGGTGGAGGCTTGGCAGAAAACCGAGCCGGTGCGGAAAACCACTCCTCAAAAGCCATGCCTAGCATCTTCCCACATGCCCCGAATTCTGGATTTGGGCTCGTTCAGCTACGCGTGATGCACAGCAGAGCACCTCCAGCCGCTCGGCCGGAGAGCCGCCGGGCAGCACGGCCGGCGCCTGTAGCTGCTCAGAACAGCGGTTCCTCCAGCCTGCCGTTCTTCCCGGCTACCAGCTGGAGGCGCTGGGAGGAGTGCGTGCCAGGGCAGGGATAGAGCTGCGGGTGAAGGGGAGGACCCAGAGCTACTGGGCCCGCCCGCCGGTAGGATGGGACAGGACAGAAAATCCCTCCCACCTACCTACACAGGGAGGCGCCATTTTGTTCCAGTCTGCATCCCAGGGTGAGGAGCCGCCATTTCATGAGCCGGCGGAGGCGCCATTTTGTTCCAGCTTGAATTCCACAGACGGGAGCCACCATTTTGTGACACTTGGTCAGCCACGTGTTTCCGTACTGCTCTGAGATTGGCCTCTCTTCTAATGGCAGCCGCCTTCTCAGGATTCCCTCTAATTGGCTGCCCAACTCCTCTGGCCCACAAAGTGCTCTGATGTTAAAATACATTTGTTTTGATACAATCGTCCCGGCGGTAGGGGGGCAGGGGCCCAGGTGCTGGCACTGTGGCTTGCCGGCTGCCTCTGAGGAGAAGGCAGGAATGCCCCGTGTGAAAACCAGCCGTTTCCACCCAGCTCCAGCGGCACTGCCACAAGGCACAACTGAGCCCTGCACGCAAGGTGGAGGCGTCCTGGGCAAAACGTGCCTGGGAAAGGGCGAGACGGGGCAGGATGCTGCCCAGCAGTGGGGAAAGAGGGTGGAAAAGCGTGAGAAACAGCCGCGTGAATGCCGAGGAGAGATGCTGAGGAGCGCGCGGTGGAGAGGGAGGAGGAGAAGGAGGCGGAGCGTGAGGAGGAGGAGGTGGCGCCCGAGCAAAGAGCGGAGACAAAGCATGGGCAGGAGGAGAAAAAGAAGGAGGTGCTCCAAGCACTAGGACTCTCAGAGACTCTCCCGCAGCCCCTGCTGGAGGCGGCGGGCACGCCGCTATACCCCAAGGGATGCTGCAGCCTGCTCAGAGCCCACACAGGTACAGCGGAGAAGCGTGAGGAGGAAGGATGGAGTGGCAGAGCAGAGCTGTGGAGGGACTGACCGCTACCGGCCCCGACCCCTGCACCTCTCACGCTGCGGGGAGGTCAGGACTCACGCGTGAAGGAGGGCGTTTGAGCTCGGGGAAGAAGTTCAGGGCGGTCTGGTGCTTTCGTTTCTCACCATCCAAATGCTCCAAAATGTCCAACGTCCAAAAATGTGCAGTGACATCAAGCAGCTTCCCCCACGTCTGTTCTGCTCCGCCTCTGGTGAGCGAGCTCCCTAGCCTTATCTTGACCCACGAGAATTCCCGTCCTGTACCCTACTCCGTCCCGTTGAGGACACTGAGTGAGACGGTAGCTGGGTGCGCATTGGGCTGCTGGCCGAGGCCAGCCCACCTCAGCAATCTCTACAATGTATTCAGGTCCAGAATTATAGAAAGGACTTGATCAGTGTAATTGAAAATATTTTCTCCATTGCTACGTAGCTACACTAGATGCCGGACTACTCTCTGTACCGTACTGCTATACTACACTCGGCAGTTGTCTGGGATACTGCTCCTTTTCCTCGTACCGCCTCGTACAGTTTGACGGGCTCTTTTGCATTTCTTGACCAAAATGGTGGTGCCAACACATCCATGCTGCAGTTCCTGCTCTTGTTGCAGAGCAGCGCCCACACAGAGCCCAGGACTTTTCTGCTTCTTACGGCACCCTGCCCGCAAGGAGGCTGGGAGTGCACCAGAAGATGGCACGGGACACAGATCGGACAGCACCAGGCTGCTGGCCAACGTCAGCCTGACACAGCTATATATACCAATTACGCATACGTTGAAACGCACAAAGAACTTCATAAAGGTAAGCAAAGCTTTTCTTAACCTTCCCATCAGCTACACTGCATACAGAACGAGAGAAGAGCTTGTGATGTGCACTGAGCCCTGGGATCCTAGAAGTGGCTGGATGCTTGCCCATCAAAGAGAAGTGGCAAATGTTTCCCTTGGCTTGCAGGCGTGGGTTTTCTTTTACCGAGTAAACGGTCTTTGCCTAAACCCGTGTGTGCTCCCAGTTTCATCCTTCCGATACTTTCCCCACCGCAGCTGGGGAGACTGCGTGGTGTTCGGTTTTCTGCCAGGTTAAGCAGCAACAAGTACACATAACAGGCACACAGGCAGCTAGGTCGAGCAGTTAAACGTATGCCTGTATTCCTAAAGGGGTAGATGTGAAATGGGCAGGGCGTTCCTTCCTGCCAGCTAACACAATAAAGAATTTGACTTTCAGGGGGAATAGAAACGGTCCAACGTAAGCACAAGGCCATGTCAGCGACCTGCCCTTTCCCAGTCTGCAGAAAAGCCACTGGCACATCAGCGGTTGGGGGAGCTTCAAGAGGGTGGAGGCTTGGCAGAAAACCGAGCCGGTGCGGAAAACCACTCCTCAAAAGCCATGCCTAGCATCTTCCCACATGCCCCGAATTCTGGATTTGGGCTCGTTCAGCTACGCGTGATGCACAGCAGAGCACCTCCAGCCGCTCGGCCGGAGAGCCGCCGGGCAGCACGGCCGGCGCCTGTAGCTGCTCAGAACAGCGGTTCCTCCAGCCTGCCGTTCTTCCCGGCTACCAGCTGGAGGCGCTGGGAGGAGTGCGTGCCAGGGCAGGGATAGAGCTGCGGGTGAAGGGGAGGACCCAGAGCTACTGGGCCCGCCCGCCGGTAGGATGGGACAGGACAGAAAATCCCTCCCACCTACCTACACAGGGAGGCGCCATTTTGTTCCAGTCTGCATCCCAGGGTGAGGAGCCGCCATTTCATGAGCCGGCGGAGGCGCCATTTTGTTCCAGCTTGAATTCCACAGACGGGAGCCACCATTTTGTGACACTTGGTCAGCCACGTGTTTCCGTACTGCTCTGAGATTGGCCTCTCTTCTAATGGCAGCCGCCTTCTCAGGATTCCCTCTAATTGGCTGCCCAACTCCTCTGGCCCACAAAGTGCTCTGATGTTAAAATACATTTGTTTTGATACAATCGTCCCGGCGGTAGGGGGGCAGGGGCCCAGGTGCTGGCACTGTGGCTTGCCGGCTGCCTCTGAGGAGAAGGCAGGAATGCCCCGTGTGAAAACCAGCCGTTTCCACCCAGCTCCAGCGGCACTGCCACAAGGCACAACTGAGCCCTGCACGCAAGGTGGAGGCGTCCTGGGCAAAACGTGCCTGGGAAAGGGCGAGACGGGGCAGGATGCTGCCCAGCAGTGGGGAAAGAGGGTGGAAAAGCGTGAGAAACAGCCGCGTGAATGCCGAGGAGAGATGCTGAGGAGCGCGCGGTGGAGAGGGAGGAGGAGAAGGAGGCGGAGCGTGAGGAGGAGGAGGTGGCGCCCGAGCAAAGAGCGGAGACAAAGCATGGGCAGGAGGAGAAAAAGAAGGAGGTGCTCCAAGCACTAGGACTCTCAGAGACTCTCCCGCAGCCCCTGCTGGAGGCGGCGGGCACGCCGCTATACCCCAAGGGATGCTGCAGCCTGCTCAGAGCCCACACAGGTACAGCGGAGAAGCGTGAGGAGGAAGGATGGAGTGGCAGAGCAGAGCTGTGGAGGGACTGACCGCTACCGGCCCCGACCCCTGCACCTCTCACGCTGCGGGGAGGTCAGGACTCACGCGTGAAGGAGGGCGTTTGAGCTCGGGGAAGAAGTTCAGGGCGGTCTGGTGCTTTCGTTTCTCACCATCCAAATGCTCCAAAATGTCCAACGTCCAAAAATGTGCAGTGACATCAAGCAGCTTCCCCCACGTCTGTTCTGCTCCGCCTCTGGTGAGCGAGCTCCCTAGCCTTATCTTGACCCACGAGAATTCCCGTCCTGTACCCTACTCCGTCCCGTTGAGGACACTGAGTGAGACGGTAGCTGGGTGCGCATTGGGCTGCTGGCCGAGGCCAGCCCACCTCAGCAATCTCTACAATGTATTCAGGTCCAGAATTATAGAAAGGACTTGATCAGTGTAATTGAAAATATTTTCTCCATTGCTACGTAGCTACACTAGATGCCGGACTACTCTCTGTACCGTACTGCTATACTACACTCGGCAGTTGTCTGGGATACTGCTCCTTTTCCTCGTACCGCCTCGTACAGTTTGACGGGCTCTTTTGCATTTCTTGACCAAAATGGTGGTGCCAACACATCCATGCTGCAGTTCCTGCTCTTGTTGCAGAGCAGCGCCCACACAGAGCCCAGGACTTTTCTGCTTCTTACGGCACCCTGCCCGCAAGGAGGCTGGGAGTGCACCAGAAGATGGCACGGGACACAGATCGGACAGCACCAGGCTGCTGGCCAACGTCAGCCTGACACAGCTATATATACCAATTACGCATACGTTGAAACGCACAAAGAACTTCATAAAGGTAAGCAAAGCTTTTCTTAACCTTCCCATCAGCTACACTGCATACAGAACGAGAGAAGAGCTTGTGATGTGCACTGAGCCCTGGGATCCTAGAAGTGGCTGGATGCTTGCCCATTAAAGAGAAGTGGCAAATGTTTCCCTTGGCTTGCAGGCGTGGGTTTTCTTTTACCGAGTAAACGGTCTTTGCCTAAACCCGTGTGTGCTCCCAGTTTCATCCTTCCGATACTTTCCCCACCGCAGCTGGGGAGACTGCGTGGTGTTCGGTTTTCTGCCAGGTTAAGCAGCAACAAGTACACATAACAGGCACACAGGCAGCTAGGTCGAGCAGTTAAACGTATGCCTGTATTCCTAAAGGGGTAGATGTGAAATGGGCAGGGCGTTCCTTCCTGCCAGCTAACACAATAAAGAATTTGACTTTCAGGGGGAATAGAAACGGTCCAACGTAAGCACAAGGCCATGTCAGCGACCTGCCCTTTCCCAGTCTGCAGAAAAGCCACTGGCACATCAGCGGTTGGGGGAGCTTCAAGAGGGTGGAGGCTTGGCAGAAAACCGAGCCGGTGCGGAAAACCACTCCTCAAAAGCCATGCCTAGCATCTTCCCACATGCCCCGAATTCTGGATTTGGGCTCGTTCAGCTACGCGTGATGCACAGCAGAGCACCTCCAGCCGCTCGGCCGGAGAGCCGCCGGGCAGCACGGCCGGCGCCTGTAGCTGCTCAGAACAGCGGTTCCTCCAGCCTGCCGTTCTTCCCGGCTACCAGCTGGAGGCGCTGGGAGGAGTGCGTGCCAGGGCAGGGATAGAGCTGCGGGTGAAGGGGAGGACCCAGAGCTACTGGGCCCGCCCGCCGGTAGGATGGGACAGGACAGAAAATCCCTCCCACCTACCTACACAGGGAGGCGCCATTTTGTTCCAGTCTGCATCCCAGGGTGAGGAGCCGCCATTTCATGAGCCGGCGGAGGCGCCATTTTGTTCCAGCTTGAATTCCACAGACGGGAGCCACCATTTTGTGACACTTGGTCAGCCACGTGTTTCCGTACTGCTCTGAGATTGGCCTCTCTTCTAATGGCAGCCGCCTTCTCAGGATTCCCTCTAATTGGCTGCCCAACTCCTCTGGCCCACAAAGTGCTCTGATGTTAAAATACATTTGTTTTGATACAATCGTCCCGGCGGTAGGGGGGCAGGGGCCCAGGTGCTGGCACTGTGGCTTGCCGGCTGCCTCTGAGGAGAAGGCAGGAATGCCCCGTGTGAAAACCAGCCGTTTCCACCCAGCTCCAGCGGCACTGCCACAAGGCACAACTGAGCCCTGCACGCAAGGTGGAGGCGTCCTGGGCAAAACGTGCCTGGGAAAGGGCGAGACGGGGCAGGATGCTGCCCAGCAGTGGGGAAAGAGGGTGGAAAAGCGTGAGAAACAGCCGCGTGAATGCCGAGGAGAGATGCTGAGGAGCGCGCGGTGGAGAGGGAGGAGGAGAAGGAGGCGGAGCGTGAGGAGGAGGAGGTGGCGCCCGAGCAAAGAGCGGAGACAAAGCATGGGCAGGAGGAGAAAAAGAAGGAGGTGCTCCAAGCACTAGGACTCTCAGAGACTCTCCCGCAGCCCCTGCTGGAGGCGGCGGGCACGCCGCTATACCCCAAGGGATGCTGCAGCCTGCTCAGAGCCCACACAGGTACAGCGGAGAAGCGTGAGGAGGAAGGATGGAGTGGCAGAGCAGAGCTGTGGAGGGACTGACCGCTACCGGCCCCGACCCCTGCACCTCTCACGCTGCGGGGAGGTCAGGACTCACGCGTGAAGGAGGGCGTTTGAGCTCGGGGAAGAAGTTCAGGGCGGTCTGGTGCTTTCGTTTCTCACCATCCAAATGCTCCAAAATGTCCAACGTCCAAAAATGTGCAGTGACATCAAGCAGCTTCCCCCACGTCTGTTCTGCTCCGCCTCTGGTGAGCGAGCTCCCTAGCCTTATCTTGACCCACGAGAATTCCCGTCCTGTACCCTACTCCGTCCCGTTGAGGACACTGAGTGAGACGGTAGCTGGGTGCGCATTGGGCTGCTGGCCGAGGCCAGCCCACCTCAGCAATCTCTACAATGTATTCAGGTCCAGAATTATAGAAAGGACTTGATCAGTGTAATTGAAAATATTTTCTCCATTGCTACGTAGCTACACTAGATGCCGGACTACTCTCTGTACCGTACTGCTATACTACACTCGGCAGTTGTCTGGGATACTGCTCCTTTTCCTCGTACCGCCTCGTACAGTTTGACGGGCTCTTTTGCATTTCTTGACCAAAATGGTGGTGCCAACACATCCATGCTGCAGTTCCTGCTCTTGTTGCAGAGCAGCGCCCACACAGAGCCCAGGACTTTTCTGCTTCTTACGGCACCCTGCCCGCAAGGAGGCTGGGAGTGCACCAGAAGATGGCACGGGACACAGATCGGACAGCACCAGGCTGCTGGCCAACGTCAGCCTGACACAGCTATATATACCAATTACGCATACGTTGAAACGCACAAAGAACTTCATAAAGGTAAGCAAAGCTTTTCTTAACCTTCCCATCAGCTACACTGCATACAGAACGAGAGAAGAGCTTGTGATGTGCACTGAGCCCTGGGATCCTAGAAGTGGCTGGATGCTTGCCCATTAAAGAGAAGTGGCAAATGTTTCCCTTGGCTTGCAGGCGTGGGTTTTCTTTTACCGAGTAAACGGTCTTTGCCTAAACCCGTGTGTGCTCCCAGTTTCATCCTTCCGATACTTTCCCCACCGCAGCTGGGGAGACTGCGTGGTGTTCGGTTTTCTGCCAGGTTAAGCAGCAACAAGTACACATAACAGGCACACAGGCAGCTAGGTCGAGCAGTTAAACGTATGCCTGTATTCCTAAAGGGGTAGATGTGAAATGGGCAGGGCGTTCCTTCCTGCCAGCTAACACAATAAAGAATTTGACTTTCAGGGGGAATAGAAACGGTCCAACGTAAGCACAAGGCCATGTCAGCGACCTGCCCTTTCCCAGTCTGCAGAAAAGCCACTGGCACATCAGCGGTTGGGGGAGCTTCAAGAGGGTGGAGGCTTGGCAGAAAACCGAGCCGGTGCGGAAAACCACTCCTCAAAAGCCATGCCTAGCATCTTCCCACATGCCCCGAATTCTGGATTTGGGCTCGTTCAGCTACGCGTGATGCACAGCAGAGCACCTCCAGCCGCTCGGCCGGAGAGCCGCCGGGCAGCACGGCCGGCGCCTGTAGCTGCTCAGAACAGCGGTTCCTCCAGCCTGCCGTTCTTCCCGGCTACCAGCTGGAGGCGCTGGGAGGAGTGCGTGCCAGGGCAGGGATAGAGCTGCGGGTGAAGGGGAGGACCCAGAGCTACTGGGCCCGCCCGCCGGTAGGATGGGACAGGACAGAAAATCCCTCCCACCTACCTACACAGGGAGGCGCCATTTTGTTCCAGTCTGCATCCCAGGGTGAGGAGCCGCCATTTCATGAGCCGGCGGAGGCGCCATTTTGTTCCAGCTTGAATTCCACAGACGGGAGCCACCATTTTGTGACACTTGGTCAGCCACGTGTTTCCGTACTGCTCTGAGATTGGCCTCTCTTCTAATGGCAGCCGCCTTCTCAGGATTCCCTCTAATTGGCTGCCCAACTCCTCTGGCCCACAAAGTGCTCTGATGTTAAAATACATTTGTTTTGATACAATCGTCCCGGCGGTAGGGGGGCAGGGGCCCAGGTGCTGGCACTGTGGCTTGCCGGCTGCCTCTGAGGAGAAGGCAGGAATGCCCCGTGTGAAAACCAGCCGTTTCCACCCAGCTCCAGCGGCACTGCCACAAGGCACAACTGAGCCCTGCACGCAAGGTGGAGGCGTCCTGGGCAAAACGTGCCTGGGAAAGGGCGAGACGGGGCAGGATGCTGCCCAGCAGTGGGGAAAGAGGGTGGAAAAGCGTGAGAAACAGCCGCGTGAATGCCGAGGAGAGATGCTGAGGAGCGCGCGGTGGAGAGGGAGGAGGAGAAGGAGGCGGAGCGTGAGGAGGAGGAGGTGGCGCCCGAGCAAAGAGCGGAGACAAAGCATGGGCAGGAGGAGAAAAAGAAGGAGGTGCTCCAAGCACTAGGACTCTCAGAGACTCTCCCGCAGCCCCTGCTGGAGGCGGCGGGCACGCCGCTATACCCCAAGGGATGCTGCAGCCTGCTCAGAGCCCACACAGGTACAGCGGAGAAGCGTGAGGAGGAAGGATGGAGTGGCAGAGCAGAGCTGTGGAGGGACTGACCGCTACCGGCCCCGACCCCTGCACCTCTCACGCTGCGGGGAGGTCAGGACTCACGCGTGAAGGAGGGCGTTTGAGCTCGGGGAAGAAGTTCAGGGCGGTCTGGTGCTTTCGTTTCTCACCATCCAAATGCTCCAAAATGTCCAACGTCCAAAAATGTGCAGTGACATCAAGCAGCTTCCCCCACGTCTGTTCTGCTCCGCCTCTGGTGAGCGAGCTCCCTAGCCTTATCTTGACCCACGAGAATTCCCGTCCTGTACCCTACTCCGTCCCGTTGAGGACACTGAGTGAGACGGTAGCTGGGTGCGCATTGGGCTGCTGGCCGAGGCCAGCCCACCTCAGCAATCTCTACAATGTATTCAGGTCCAGAATTATAGAAAGGACTTGATCAGTGTAATTGAAAATATTTTCTCCATTGCTACGTAGCTACACTAGATGCCGGACTACTCTCTGTACCGTACTGCTATACTACACTCGGCAGTTGTCTGGGATACTGCTCCTTTTCCTCGTACCGCCTCGTACAGTTTGACGGGCTCTTTTGCATTTCTTGACCAAAATGGTGGTGCCAACACATCCATGCTGCAGTTCCTGCTCTTGTTGCAGAGCAGCGCCCACACAGAGCCCAGGACTTTTCTGCTTCTTACGGCACCCTGCCCGCAAGGAGGCTGGGAGTGCACCAGAAGATGGCACGGGACACAGATCGGACAGCACCAGGCTGCTGGCCAACGTCAGCCTGACACAGCTATATATACCAATTACGCATACGTTGAAACGCACAAAGAACTTCATAAAGGTAAGCAAAGCTTTTCTTAACCTTCCCATCAGCTACACTGCATACAGAACGAGAGAAGAGCTTGTGATGTGCACTGAGCCCTGGGATCCTAGAAGTGGCTGGATGCTTGCCCATTAAAGAGAAGTGGCAAATGTTTCCCTTGGCTTGCAGGCGTGGGTTTTCTTTTACCGAGTAAACGGTCTTTGCCTAAACCCGTGTGTGCTCCCAGTTTCATCCTTCCGATACTTTCCCCACCGCAGCTGGGGAGACTGCGTGGTGTTCGGTTTTCTGCCAGGTTAAGCAGCAACAAGTACACATAACAGGCACACAGGCAGCTAGGTCGAGCAGTTAAACGTATGCCTGTATTCCTAAAGGGGTAGATGTGAAATGGGCAGGGCGTTCCTTCCTGCCAGCTAACACAATAAAGAATTTGACTTTCAGGGGGAATAGAAACGGTCCAACGTAAGCACAAGGCCATGTCAGCGACCTGCCCTTTCCCAGTCTGCAGAAAAGCCACTGGCACATCAGCGGTTGGGGGAGCTTCAAGAGGGTGGAGGCTTGGCAGAAAACCGAGCCGGTGCGGAAAACCACTCCTCAAAAGCCATGCCTAGCATCTTCCCACATGCCCCGAATTCTGGATTTGGGCTCGTTCAGCTACGCGTGATGCACAGCAGAGCACCTCCAGCCGCTCGGCCGGAGAGCCGCCGGGCAGCACGGCCGGCGCCTGTAGCTGCTCAGAACAGCGGTTCCTCCAGCCTGCCGTTCTTCCCGGCTACCAGCTGGAGGCGCTGGGAGGAGTGCGTGCCAGGGCAGGGATAGAGCTGCGGGTGAAGGGGAGGACCCAGAGCTACTGGGCCCGCCCGCCGGTAGGATGGGACAGGACAGAAAATCCCTCCCACCTACCTACACAGGGAGGCGCCATTTTGTTCCAGTCTGCATCCCAGGGTGAGGAGCCGCCATTTCATGAGCCGGCGGAGGCGCCATTTTGTTCCAGCTTGAATTCCACAGACGGGAGCCACCATTTTGTGACACTTGGTCAGCCACGTGTTTCCGTACTGCTCTGAGATTGGCCTCTCTTCTAATGGCAGCCGCCTTCTCAGGATTCCCTCTAATTGGCTGCCCAACTCCTCTGGCCCACAAAGTGCTCTGATGTTAAAATACATTTGTTTTGATACAATCGTCCCGGCGGTAGGGGGGCAGGGGCCCAGGTGCTGGCACTGTGGCTTGCCGGCTGCCTCTGAGGAGAAGGCAGGAATGCCCCGTGTGAAAACCAGCCGTTTCCACCCAGCTCCAGCGGCACTGCCACAAGGCACAACTGAGCCCTGCACGCAAGGTGGAGGCGTCCTGGGCAAAACGTGCCTGGGAAAGGGCGAGACGGGGCAGGATGCTGCCCAGCAGTGGGGAAAGAGGGTGGAAAAGCGTGAGAAACAGCCGCGTGAATGCCGAGGAGAGATGCTGAGGAGCGCGCGGTGGAGAGGGAGGAGGAGAAGGAGGCGGAGCGTGAGGAGGAGGAGGTGGCGCCCGAGCAAAGAGCGGAGACAAAGCATGGGCAGGAGGAGAAAAAGAAGGAGGTGCTCCAAGCACTAGGACTCTCAGAGACTCTCCCGCAGCCCCTGCTGGAGGCGGCGGGCACGCCGCTATACCCCAAGGGATGCTGCAGCCTGCTCAGAGCCCACACAGGTACAGCGGAGAAGCGTGAGGAGGAAGGATGGAGTGGCAGAGCAGAGCTGTGGAGGGACTGACCGCTACCGGCCCCGACCCCTGCACCTCTCACGCTGCGGGGAGGTCAGGACTCACGCGTGAAGGAGGGCGTTTGAGCTCGGGGAAGAAGTTCAGGGCGGTCTGGTGCTTTCGTTTCTCACCATCCAAATGCTCCAAAATGTCCAACGTCCAAAAATGTGCAGTGACATCAAGCAGCTTCCCCCACGTCTGTTCTGCTCCGCCTCTGGTGAGCGAGCTCCCTAGCCTTATCTTGACCCACGAGAATTCCCGTCCTGTACCCTACTCCGTCCCGTTGAGGACACTGAGTGAGACGGTAGCTGGGTGCGCATTGGGCTGCTGGCCGAGGCCAGCCCACCTCAGCAATCTCTACAATGTATTCAGGTCCAGAATTATAGAAAGGACTTGATCAGTGTAATTGAAAATATTTTCTCCATTGCTACGTAGCTACACTAGATGCCGGACTACTCTCTGTACCGTACTGCTATACTACACTCGGCAGTTGTCTGGGATACTGCTCCTTTTCCTCGTACCGCCTCGTACAGTTTGACGGGCTCTTTTGCATTTCTTGACCAAAATGGTGGTGCCAACACATCCATGCTGCAGTTCCTGCTCTTGTTGCAGAGCAGCGCCCACACAGAGCCCAGGACTTTTCTGCTTCTTACGGCACCCTGCCCGCAAGGAGGCTGGGAGTGCACCAGAAGATGGCACGGGACACAGATCGGACAGCACCAGGCTGCTGGCCAACGTCAGCCTGACACAGCTATATATACCAATTACGCATACGTTGAAACGCACAAAGAACTTCATAAAGGTAAGCAAAGCTTTTCTTAACCTTCCCATCAGCTACACTGCATACAGAACGAGAGAAGAGCTTGTGATGTGCACTGAGCCCTGGGATCCTAGAAGTGGCTGGATGCTTGCCCATTAAAGAGAAGTGGCAAATGTTTCCCTTGGCTTGCAGGCGTGGGTTTTCTTTTACCGAGTAAACGGTCTTTGCCTAAACCCGTGTGTGCTCCCAGTTTCATCCTTCCGATACTTTCCCCACCGCAGCTGGGGAGACTGCGTGGTGTTCGGTTTTCTGCCAGGTTAAGCAGCAACAAGTACACATAACAGGCACACAGGCAGCTAGGTCGAGCAGTTAAACGTATGCCTGTATTCCTAAAGGGGTAGATGTGAAATGGGCAGGGCGTTCCTTCCTGCCAGCTAACACAATAAAGAATTTGACTTTCAGGGGGAATAGAAACGGTCCAACGTAAGCACAAGGCCATGTCAGCGACCTGCCCTTTCCCAGTCTGCAGAAAAGCCACTGGCACATCAGCGGTTGGGGGAGCTTCAAGAGGGTGGAGGCTTGGCAGAAAACCGAGCCGGTGCGGAAAACCACTCCTCAAAAGCCATGCCTAGCATCTTCCCACATGCCCCGAATTCTGGATTTGGGCTCGTTCAGCTACGCGTGATGCACAGCAGAGCACCTCCAGCCGCTCGGCCGGAGAGCCGCCGGGCAGCACGGCCGGCGCCTGTAGCTGCTCAGAACAGCGGTTCCTCCAGCCTGCCGTTCTTCCCGGCTACCAGCTGGAGGCGCTGGGAGGAGTGCGTGCCAGGGCAGGGATAGAGCTGCGGGTGAAGGGGAGGACCCAGAGCTACTGGGCCCGCCCGCCGGTAGGATGGGACAGGACAGAAAATCCCTCCCACCTACCTACACAGGGAGGCGCCATTTTGTTCCAGTCTGCATCCCAGGGTGAGGAGCCGCCATTTCATGAGCCGGCGGAGGCGCCATTTTGTTCCAGCTTGAATTCCACAGACGGGAGCCACCATTTTGTGACACTTGGTCAGCCACGTGTTTCCGTACTGCTCTGAGATTGGCCTCTCTTCTAATGGCAGCCGCCTTCTCAGGATTCCCTCTAATTGGCTGCCCAACTCCTCTGGCCCACAAAGTGCTCTGATGTTAAAATACATTTGTTTTGATACAATCGTCCCGGCGGTAGGGGGGCAGGGGCCCAGGTGCTGGCACTGTGGCTTGCCGGCTGCCTCTGAGGAGAAGGCAGGAATGCCCCGTGTGAAAACCAGCCGTTTCCACCCAGCTCCAGCGGCACTGCCACAAGGCACAACTGAGCCCTGCACGCAAGGTGGAGGCGTCCTGGGCAAAACGTGCCTGGGAAAGGGCGAGACGGGGCAGGATGCTGCCCAGCAGTGGGGAAAGAGGGTGGAAAAGCGTGAGAAACAGCCGCGTGAATGCCGAGGAGAGATGCTGAGGAGCGCGCGGTGGAGAGGGAGGAGGAGAAGGAGGCGGAGCGTGAGGAGGAGGAGGTGGCGCCCGAGCAAAGAGCGGAGACAAAGCATGGGCAGGAGGAGAAAAAGAAGGAGGTGCTCCAAGCACTAGGACTCTCAGAGACTCTCCCGCAGCCCCTGCTGGAGGCGGCGGGCACGCCGCTATACCCCAAGGGATGCTGCAGCCTGCTCAGAGCCCACACAGGTACAGCGGAGAAGCGTGAGGAGGAAGGATGGAGTGGCAGAGCAGAGCTGTGGAGAGACTGACCGCTACCGGCCCCGACCCCTTCATCTTCACATTACCTTTTTGCCCCTAGTTTCATTCTGCCAATATTTACACCATCACTGTTTGCATTTTTGATGAAAGTACTGCTTTTCTTGTTTAGCCACGCCCATAAAGAGCCTAGGGGTTTTCTGATTCTTATTGTGTACTACCGCCATGCGTTATGTAGCCTATAGTATGCCTTTGCTTAGTACTTTCTGTAATATTTATTGACTTTCATCTTCTTTTTATACATGTCTTTTTTTCTTTTTGTTTTCATTTCAAGTGTTTTTTTTTAATTTATTCTTTATGAGGCAGTGTTTTTTCTGCTTCTGTTTAGTCTCTTCATTACAGCACTTTCAAATCAGCCTTCCTGCCTGTTTTTATCTCATTTTACTTTGTTCTTTTTCAGTTTTATTCTCGTTATTTTTTTCTTAATTCTGTTTTGAATAACACTCCCAATATCTTTGCTATAATACAAAAACCCAACATACTACACTCTCTTTTTATTCACTAGATGTTTAATCTTTTCATAAAATTTAATTGCCTTTTTTCATGAATTTCCCTTTGTGTGCCTATGTATTCTTCGATTACTGACTATTCTCTTTAATTAATCCTCTATTTTTTGCAAGCTAGGAAATAAAATGTACTGACCCATAGCTGCAATGTTTTTTTATTTATCCTGCCTGAAAACTGAAACAACTTTTACTACTTATGACTGGATTCTCCTTTTTTTTTTTTTTTTTTTTTTCTTGGCTCAAAGTTCATTTTCTGGGGCATTTTTTGCTATAGTACTCTTACTTATCTCGAAAAAAAATTGTGGCTATCACTGTGTAGCAGTTAACATCACCTAATGGACAGTTTTACATCTGAATGACTATACGTGTTTACTGACAGAAGATCTGATTTGTGATCAGGAAACTGCAGCATGGTCCAGGAGATTGGGGAATGATGCTATTGTATGCTGTGAAGGTAAAATGCAAGTGGGTGCTGCCTTGATACCTCTTATCTGCTGGCAAGGCCCAGAAAATGGGCAAATTATTTCCTGCTGAGGTCCAAATCTCAGAAACTATCACTCCAAAGAGAACTGACTCAACCACTTTGGACTTATATGTTTGTACTGTCACCGGTAGCTGCTGTCAACTATACAACACAACTTCTGATGACCCTTCATTACTGAAGGCCAACATCTGAACTACAAGCTATTAATCATAGAATCACAGTATATCACAGAATCATAAAATCACAGAATCATAGAATAATAGAATGGCCTGGATTGAAAAGGACCACAATGATCATCAAGTTTCAATCCCCCCTGCTATAGGCAGGGTTGCTATAGACCAGGCTGCCCAGAATCACATCCAACTTGGACTTGAATCCTCCAGGGTTGGGGCATCCACAACCTCCTTGGGCAACCTGTTCCATTGCACAACCACTCTCTGAATGAAAAACTTCCTCCTAATATCTAACCTAAACTTCCCCTGCCTCAGTTTAAAATCATTCCCCCTTGTCTTATCACTATCCATCCTTGTAAACAGCCATTCCCCCTCCTGTGTATATGCTCCATTCAAGTTTTGGAAGACCACAGTGAGGTCTCCCTGGAGCCTTCTCTTCATCAAGCTAAACAAGCCGTGTTCTCTCAGCCTTTCTTCATAGGAGAGATGCTCCAGCCCTCTGATCATCTTAGTGATCCTTCTCTGGACTTGTTCCAAGAGCTCCACATCCTTCTTGATCTAGGGGCTCCAGGCCTGGATGCAGTACTCCAGATGGGAGCCTCATGAGAGCATCACAAGAAAATCACTTCCCTCTCCCTACCGACCACTACTCTTTTGATGCAGCCCAGAACACAGTTGGCCTTTTGAACTGCAAGTGTACACTCCTGGCTCATGTCCAGCTTTTCATTCACCACAGCCTCAAGTCCTTCTCCGCAGACCTGCTTTCAAGGACAACTCCCCCCAGTTGAGGGGAGTTAATCAGATGATAATAATGTTTAAAAGCAGTACATGTGCTAGTGTTTGGGTTTGGTGATATAGAAGAGCTGATTGATATGAAGCTCTTTCAGTGACTTTTTTGTTGTGACCAATGAATTTCCCAAATTTGTATGTCTGTTCTGAAATACCTACAAAATGGGATCAGCTTTTCCAGGTGACTATAGTCCATGTCAATTGTCCTAATATTTAGAAAAGCTACTTTTACTTTCAGAGTTAACTTTAGATGTGAAAAAATAATAATAAATCTTTTAATAATAATAAACCTTTTTGTTTTTTTTTTTCATTTCAGAGCCTGGAAGATGAATCAAAGTGAGAAGATTTTCTTAAGAAGCACACTGCACAGCTGCGGCACATCAAGTAGCTCACAAGCTTGGACATCTTCCGAAAGTCCAGTTGCAGCTACACAGAAATCCTCTCCCTAAAGACATACCTGCATATATTTGAAAGTGAAATTTTGCTTTCTAACCTTGCACAGTATACTCTTTTATCAACTTTTATCAACAATTTTTATACTGTTTTATATTTATTAATTTGAAACTGGGACATTAAAAATATTAGTATATTAATCTTGTATCAAATCTTAAAAATTAAACCCTTGTATCATTTGTTTTGTTTCTCTTATGTTTAATATAGGTATGTCTCTTGGTTTATTTAGTAGCACTTGTAATACTGCAGCTTAAATTCTTATTCCAAGCTTTTATCTGGTGCTGCAGAATTTGATATGTAAGTTGAGGAAATATTAATTTCCCATGTGCCTTTATTACACTTTTAGTTCTCTACTGTGTATCAAAATGCTGAATATGTAAAATTATATTCATTTACTCTTGACTATGTGACAGACATTTAAATACTATAGGCAAATAGCATCTTAAATATAATTAACCACACATTCAGTTTTTTTAATGCCTTTTTGGTTTCCTTTCAGAGGGACTTTCAGAGGAATTTGATAGCAGGTGAATGCTGCTACATCTTTCATATTCATCCTTCTCAAGAGCTTAGGTTCTCTGGTAAGAGGGATGATGGGCTCAGATATCCTGCCCTAGGGCTTAGCAGTGAGACCACAGTAGTAACTGCTGGTTAGGTTTTGATGCTGTAGCAGAGTTGGGAGAGGAGATAGGCTGGTATCATACATTCACCAGGACTACCCCTCACTTTGGGCCAAATGGCCCTGCTCTGGAGCATGTGGGGAGGATGTGAGCTGATAGTATCTGCTGTAACCTATAAGGTTACCATATTGTGCATGTTATTTACAAACACCAGTTGGTCAAGCAGGCCAAGTCTCCTTTGGCAACCTCTGTGCAGTCACTGTCATAATCCTGACAGGCCCCTCCTCATGACACTGATGGCACAATTCCAGAGCAGTGGAAGAAACAGTTCTCCTAAGTAAAATTTATCTGCCACAATTTCTGCAGCTTACATCCTTGTAGCATCCATCTAAGAGATAGTGGTAAACTGGAATTAAGCATGTTAACACTGATGATCATCATATTGACTTGATTCCTCTTACCATTAGACAGTTTTACTATTCCAGGTGCCAAATTCTGTTTAGAAGTGTACAAAACATGGAAAGCTTTAAAATTCCCCCAAAATGTTAGAATTGAAATTCTGATATGAAGCATTGGGAAACATCTTAACCTTGCAACTTAAAAGTTGTCTCTTGTGGTTGTCTGGTAGCACAGAAATTTTTTCCCATAAGCTTTTTGCGAAGCTTTCTGCCATAATTTTTATTCCTATGTCTGATACAGAGTATTTTCTCTGGATTATGAGCTATGAGCTATGCTAGAATCTCAACTATGACTATCTCTCTCTTGCTTTCTCCAAAAATTCCCTCATTGTATTTCCTAACTCTTTTTTATCGCCCATCTTCCTGTCCCACTTCCCTAAACAACTAGGATTTGTAATAAACTCTTCAGGGTGATATTTGACCCATTGTGTCTTATCCTCTCCCTTGTGTGTATATATATATATAAAATAATCTCCACTCTCTCCTGTAATTGGAGCAAGGCAACTTCCCAGTTGACTAGGACTCTCCATATTCCCAAGATTATTCATAACTGTGAGTGTTCTCACAGTAACATAGACCAGCATTTTCAGTACTCTGGGACATACCTCATCAGGCCCCATAGACTTACATGCATTCAACTGAAGCAGGAAATCCTGAACAAGCTCAGCTTCAGCTAGAAGCTTATTTCTCACCCAAACATGGTATTCCAGGCCAGGGCTCCATTAAACCAAAAGAAGGCATTAAACATTTCAGCTTTATATTCACCCCTTTTTGTGAGGTGACCTTATGAATTAACTTAACAGTTTTCTATATTCTTCCTCTGGCTATTAAACATACTTTAAAAAGTCTTTCTTGTTCATCAACACTGCACTGGCCAACTTCAACTACAACTGAGTGTTAACTGTATTCATTTTCTCCCTGCAATAGCAAACAGCATCTCTATAGTCCTCCTGTCTACCCAGGCCTTGCTTCGAAGGTTCATACATTTTTTTTCCCTTATGTAAATTCAAGAGAAGTTTCTCATCACCCAGACAACCTTCTGTCCCACTTACTCCACTTGTGACACACCAGAACTGTCCATGCTTGCTCCTGCTTTCATAAAAGAAGGTTCTTAAAAGATGAGCAATATTTATGAACCCCACTGTGCCTTCAAAAGTGAATTTGCGGGAAACCTTACTGTTTCGTGAGCAATTCTTCTTTCCTAAAATCTCAGAAAGCTGATAGTTTTTTGCAAATCAGCAAGGATTTAATACTTAAAGATTTCATGGCCACTTTTCCCATGACAGCCACTAAACACTTCAACTACAAGACTTCTCTATTTATAGGCAATAAATCTAGGAAGGCAGATTTCCCAGTTGGCTCCCTTAGTAGATGTAAAAAAAAATAAATAATAATAATAATAAAAAAAAATTACCCGTAGCATAATTTGTAAATTTCCTGGACTTGTTCATGTGTGCTGTATGATTTTCCCAGAAAACACCTGGAAGTTGAAGTTGCCAATCACAACAAGGGAAACTGATCTAGAGATTCTTCTAATTTCTTACAGCATTTTCTATCCTGTCAGTCCTCATATGTCACTGATATCATGCTGGCTTGGTGATCTGTAATAGACTCCCACAGTAACAACTGCTTTATTAGTTTTTCTCTAAGCTATCCCCAGAGTCTCTCATTCATGTACTCTCTAACTGCCAGCATTATATAGTTCAATCCCTTTTGCATACAGGGTTACCTATCTGTCTGACCTGATCTGTCTATATTTCCTGAAGAACCTATTATCACCCATCACAGCACTTCAAGCACAGACTGTTCACACAAGTTCAACCAATTGTAGTGATGTTGTAGCACTGCAACTGAGTAAGGCTTTTAACTCCTCTTATTTATTTTTCATACTGCATGTTTTGATATACAAACACTTCAAGAGTTCTCCAAAGTACTCAGTAAAATCTTCACTAGCTTGCTGTCAAACATGACATGCCATTCTATTCTTATCAGTTGTAAACCTGATTTTCTCAATGTATCCCTTCAAACCATATTGAAAGCTCACCTGTTTCTTTCAATACCGTTTCCCTCAACTTGAAGGGTAGAAGGGAGCACTATCTGCCCTCTTGATCCTTTTATCCATCTCCACAAAGCCCTGAAGTCTTTTTGACCACCACTGGACTTTTCAACATGGCTTTGTTGCTACCTACCTGAAAAAAAAAAAAAAAAAAAAAAAAAAAAGAGGGGATAATTATTCCAGTGCCCAGCCAGGAAGTCTCCTGGTAACAACCTTAACCCAAGTCCCAGGTTGTCCAGGAGTCTGTCCAATGCGGCCTTGAACAAGTTTCTTGTGAAGGGGAATCAGAAGAAAGTTATAAAAAGTAGACAGCATGTCTAGAATGTCAGTGTCTAAGCTAACAGTAATTGCATATAAGATATACAAAAATGAGGAAGAATTGGAAAGGAAGGCAAAACAAAGTGAAATTTAAGGAAAGGAAGAAAAATGCTGCAATTTTGGCTGCTGCATTGGCTTGAATACAAACCTCCTCTGAAGAAAGTTTTTTTTTTTTTTCCTAGAAGATAAGGATGCATATCCTAGTTTTAGCTGGGATGTTTTGGCTTTCAGAATATATTTTGATAACCCACTTGTTATTCTAGTTGTTGCTGAGTAGTACTGCACAGAGCTAAGGACATTTTGATTTCTCAGCTTCTCATACTGTTCTGCCTGTGAGGGAGGCTGTGGGGAAACAAGGAGTTGGGAGGGAATGGAATCAGGACAATTGACCTAAATTGGCCAAGGGGATATTCCATAGTACATGAAATCATATCGGAATAAAGCCTGAAAACAGGGAAGTTGGTGGGGCAGCATGGCTGGGGACTGGCAGGGGATGTTAGAAGGTGATGTGAAATCGCTTTTGAATCACTTTTGTTCATATATGTGTGTGTATATATATATTCATACGCACACACACACAAATATACAAATATATATAAATGTATATGTATACACACAAGTATATATATTTATTATTATTTTCATAACTATTATCCCTTTTTCCTCCTTTCTTCCTTTTTTTCTTTTTTTCCCCCCCAATTCCCTCCCCTGTCCCACTAAGAATGAGTGTGAAAAGGGTGATCAAATGTGGTGCTTAGCTACTTGCCAGGTTAAACCACAACAGTGCAGAAGATGATGAGGGCAGGAGAAAATTTAGGGAACATGATTCCTCTGAAAAGAGATCAGTGTGCAAATTACAGGGAAAGGGGACTTTCGAAAAAATCAGTGCCTAAAGTGACAGATAACAAATTGGATAGCTCCATCTGTACACATTCTGAAGTCACATTTACTTAAGATTGATACAAAAAATTTGTATTGATTTGGGACTGAGAAACTAGATTCCCTTAAAGAATCCATGGTTTCAGAAAAGCTGCAGAATAACAGTTAAGTTCTTAGTCAATAGAGGAGCAACATATTCTGTACTAAATAGCTGAAAAGGACCAAAGAGCAAATTTCCTATGTCAGTAACTGTACTACAGGAAAACATGAGGTTAAACTTTTCTTTCAACTGATTAAGTGTGAAACTGGAAATAAAATACTCACACCTGAATTTTTCTATACACCAGAATGTCCACTACCTCTAATGAGAATAAATTTGTTAAACAAATTGGGAGAACATGTAGCTTTTGATCAGAACAAAGTTGGAGTACAATACATACATGATGTCTTTCTAGAAGCTGATATGGTTGAAGAATGTAAAGAGACAGCTATCAGCTTATTGAAAACTGTGGGGATAGAAAGACATGGAGTGCACAGAATAAAGCACAAAGAATGCATAAAATACAATCTGAAATATCCCATGGACAAAGAAAACTGGGATTTGTAAGCAAAAAGGTAACCTGTGACATCCACACTTCCCCCCCCATTCCCTCCCCCTCCTCCAAGGAAAAAAAAAAAAAAAAAAAAAAAAGAAGTCAAAGAAAGAATTCCAAGAATTTCTAGAAATAGTTGGATGGTGTCACCTGTGGATACCTAACCTTGGAAGAATTGGCACATGATTGTTTACAAACAGGTGTAGTACAGTCTTTTTGACCAGGAATGATTTACTAATGGAAACAGATTTGCTATGAAGGAAAACGGAAGGCTGGGTACGCCACAGTCACTGTAGAAAAGGCAATGAAGGCAAAACAGTTATCAGTAAACATCCACTCTGAAGGCTGAATTGCTTTAATTTGAGCCCTGGAATTATAAGAAGGAAAGCTGTCTAATGTCTACTAACTCAAAATATACTTTTTGACTAACATGTGCTCACAGGCATAAAGATTGCCAAAGGATTGTGGGTAACTTCACTTGGACAATGTGTTGAAAGTCCATAAATAATGAAGGAATTAATTGAGTGAACTCATAAGTGTGTGCATATACGAACTGAAGCTCCAAAGAAGATATTAAATAAATACGCTGTAGGAAATAATATGGTGCTGATTGCTAAGACTGTTCATACAGTGAAGTGGAATTACAAAAAAATAAATCTTAAAATGCAAAGACCTCCTTCTGGGAAGATGAAGAGAAGTTTCACGCCTGGGGAACTCTGGCAAACTGATTTTTCCAAATCAGTTTATCACCGTAATGAATATAGATACTTCTACTAATTGTTGATACTTTTTTAGGCTGGCCTGAAATTTTCCCATGTCAAAGCAGTATGGCAAGAGAAGTAATAAAGATTTTGTTAAAAGAAATTATACTAAGATTTGGCAATACAGGAGATAGAAGATTTTCAGATAGAGGACCTCATTTCATTCCAGAAATAGCAAAGAGGTGCCAAGATTTTTAGGAATTATGTGGAATTTATATATCCCATAGAGGCTGCAGTTTAGCGGAGATATAGAAAAGATGAATCAGGCAATGAAGATGCAACATAGAATATTGTGTCAGGAAGTCCAGAAGAAGTGGATTAAGCTTTATTAAGAGTTAGAATAATCTCTAGAGTTACAGAAGGAAATTGTTCATTAAATTTTAAAATTTTGCATAGGAAACATTATACTCTAAATTTAACAGGGAAGGAAACAAATGCATCTTAAGGAATATCAGGTTTTCAGTGATTACCTGGCATCTTTGCAAAGAATTCTTGCATGTCTCTAGAGGTACAGCCAACTGAGAGCTCTTCTGCCTTTGATCTCACTCATATCTCCATTTAAGTCAGCAGGTCCAGTGTATCCTCCTGAAAAGAAAAGCTGCCAACACAAAAAATGGAAGGGACTTTACACTGTACTACTGACAACAAACCAGAACTTTACATGAGATTCAGAAAGATGATACCTCTCTTGGATTTGAAGAGACATACAAATTTCTAACATTCTGATTTTCTTATCTAGGATTATGGAATGTCATTGCAGTTGAATTTCTAGTGATATCAGCTATTGTCTGTATGTTATATTGCAGTATGTATCTGAGTGTTGCATTAGACTAACAAACTAAACACAGAAAAAAATGAGACTAATCAAACCTTTCTGAAAAGAGAAGTCTCAAGAGAAGGAACTGTTAAAAAATAACTTAAAATACTTAGCTATACATGTTTGAATAATACAAATAATACAAACAATTTGAAGCTTGTAATTCATCTGTGTTAAAACACTTAGTATATTTAATTAAGAACAACCCAGAGTAAATAAGCTCCAAGGAGAAAAAAAATCAGGATGTTGGCAACTTAAAAAAAAAAAAAAAAAAAAAAAAAAAAAAGAAAAATCAAGGTCCCTGCAGCCTCAGCTAAACTCCCTTCATTATAATACTAAAAATTATGGCCATGGGTCAAAAAAACCTTGAGACAATGAAGAAACTTACTCTGAGCATGAGAAAAAGAGGAAGTACTAAGCAAAAGCATTTTAATTGTGTACAAATTACAAAGATATCAATCATAAGAGGTTCAGATGGGAAAAAAAAAAAAAAAAAAAAAAAAAAAACCTTACCAAATTTGTCAAAAGAAGAGTTTCATTGTGTCATATCCATGGGGCGGAGGGGGGGAGGAGAGGGAAGGACAAATTACAATTCAGAAATAATGAAATAAAAAATCTCAATTTAAATAAGAAATTACTAAGTTATTGAAGAGAAGCACATAAAAACAGCTGTAAAAAAAAAAAAAAAAGGAAATCAGAGTAAAAAAACTACTCTGGGGACATTACCAGTCTACTAAGTTGAACACAAATGACAACAGAAAAGTGAAGAAGAGCAATCAGGAAGAACAAATCAAACACAAGTATATCCATAACAAAGTACAGCTAAGGAAGTTATAAGGTAAAAATAACAGCCTCAGGGCCTTTAAACGTCATTGCAAAATGACTGAAGCATAATGACAGCAGCAGAATATGCCTCCTATAATGACAGAATCTAAACATCTGAATTCTCACGCAGTTACGTCACTAGTACTTAACCATAATTCACATGAGAAGTGAGAACAAGCAGATCTGTCGTATTATAAATTCCACAATTAGCCAGCATCAGCACCGGCAAAAGGAAAACAACCGCAGCTCATCGCTTCTAAAGGCACTGATCTCACTGACAATAAGCATCCGTTCAGAACCACCGAGAATGTCCGGGCCGGTGACTTTGGTACGGCTAGAATAACATCATCCTCCTTTCACGTCACGCACAGCAAGAAAAGACGGCCTAAGGAAGAAGGAGCTGTTCACGCCGGCTGTGAGGGCCTCATCTTCCCAGCAAGCTGCTACGCGTGGTTAGCCCTGCTTGCCCGAAAGCAGCCCAGGCTCTGTCTGTCTGCCTGCCTACGGGAAGCTGCAGAAGAATTCCTTGGTTTGCTTTGCTTGTGCGTGCGGCTTTGCTTCCACCTGCCACAACGCCTTTCTCTAACCCCTTGAATTCTCACACGGTTACCTTGCCAGTTCTCCCCCATAACCCACCCACGTGGGCAGCGACAGCAAGCAGCTGTCTGGGGCTTAGCTCTCTGCCAGGTGAAACCACAACAAGGACACAGTTGCCAGCGTGCAGAAATTAGACCCGTGTGTATCTTCCTAAAAGTGCACGTCTGGAAAGGATGAGACGTTCCCCAGCTGGACTGCCCTCGGGGCCTGTCGGCCACGTTCTTACACTGCGGGCTCTGCATTTTTGTGGCGGCAGGAGCCGACCCCGCATTTTCACTAGCGGCTTTGAGCCACAGAAGGCAAGGTTAGCCACTCACGTGTCCCTGCTGAAACGCCTGGGGACATGTCCCTCACTCGGAACGCTGACAAAAAGACGGAGGCACCTGCCGGACCGCATAAAGACAGTCACGACGTGCACTCGCTCTCTGCGTTTCCCAGCCGAGGGCGGAAACCGCCCCCCTTGGGGTCTCCAAAGGAGCAGAGAACTACGCTCCAAAGCTCTCCGTCAGCCGCTTTCCCACTCCCAGAATTTACTCTTTCAAGGGCTTTGACTAAGCGTGGTGCGCAACAGAGCGCTTCTTACCAATTGACCGGGCAAATACTGACAACTCTGGCATGCAGAGCCGACGCTGCTGCGCCTGCAGCTGCTCCGCAGACCCCCGCCTCTGCCCAGCCACGCCGCCCGGTCACCAGCTGGCAGCGCTGCGCACAATGCGTGCCGGGATGGAAAAAGTGCCGCGGGTGAAGGACTGGACCTGCTGCCAATTGCCTAGAGCCCGGAAGTAGGTGGGGCCAGAACCGGAACTCCCTCCCACCTACCTACATAGGGAGGCGCCATTTTGTCGTAGTCCGTGTTCCACCCTGAGGAGCCGCCATTTCATGTTACTCCGTACCCCACGTGGTTTTGTACTGCTTAGGGCTCGGCTCCCCGGCTTGTTCCTTAACTCTTTCGTATTCCCAGGCCTCCCTCTGACTGCCTGCCCAATTCCCTTGCTCCGGGAAGCGCTCACATGAAAAAAAACTGATCCATTCCTACGCAGTCGCACCGGGCAAACACGTCCCGGTGCTGGCACTGGTGGCTGTCTCGTGTCTGACGCGGGGTTTCTGGAGACCAGCGGCACTAGGGGCACTTTGATCCCAGCTAACAACTCTGCCAGCTCCACTTCTCATTTGCCAATAGCGACCCGCTCGCACCTCCCACGTGAGGATCTGATGGGAAATCCCTCGCCCTTCCAGTGCGCAGCCTCTAGCCCTCTGCTAAGTCACCGACAGCCAAGGGCAGTCCCCGCCAGAGGGCCCCAGTCATTTCATCCTAGCGTTTGATACAGCCATGGAAGAAGCAGCCGTCACGTTCAGGAGCTCTCGGCACGCCACCAGTGACAGCAGAGCGCTGCAAGAGCAAGGCTCTCTTTGATATTCCACTCCTTGTCACGCGTAAGCACGTTCCAGGCTCCTGGGCCTAAATATTGAGCTAGGCACTCCTCTACTTCAGGAAGCGACTGACCAAAGGCATAAAGCAGGCTCTCCTGCTGCCCCCCTCGGTCACTGCTCCCAACACAAGTGGTCTCAACACACAGAGAACCGGCTGTGCAGCAGACTTCAGGGCCTGCAAAGGGCTCCCTGCAAAACGCTCACAGCCACAGCCCTTTCTTCCCTGCTCTCAAAACAGGCCAGCAGCGTGACTTACACTTTGACACAGCCTGCACAATTCCTTCTCTTGGGAAAGCACTGCACCTCTCTTCCAATACGTGCAACAAAAACTCTGTTCTCTCAATCCTGCTTCCACAACCCGGTTTCTGGCAATTCCACAAGTAGCCAGCATCAGCACCGGCAAAAGGAAAACAACCGCAGCTCATCGCTTCTAAAGGCACTGATCTCACTGACAATAAGCATCCGTTCAGAACCACCGAGAATGTCCGGGCCGGTGACTTTGGTACGGCTAGAATAACATCATCCTCCTTTCACGTCACGCACAGCAAGAAAAGACGGCCTAAGGAAGAAGGAGCTGTTCACGCCGGCTGTGAGGGCCTCATCTTCCCAGCAAGCTGCTACGCGTGGTTAGCCCTGCTTGCCCGAAAGCAGCCCAGGCTCTGTCTGCCTGCCTGCCTACGGGAAGCTGCAGAAGAATTCCTTGGTTTGCTTTGCTTGTGCGTGCGGCTTTGCTTCCACCTGCCACAACGCCTTTCTCTAACCCCTTGAATTCTCACACGGTTACCTTGCCAGTTCTCCCCCATAACCCACCCACGTGGGCAGCGACAGCAAGCAGCTGTCTGGGGCTTAGCTCTCTGCCAGGTGAAACCACAACAAGGACACAGTTGCCAGCGTGCAGAAATTAGACCCGTGTGTATCTTCCTAAAAGTGCACGTCTGGAAAGGATGAGACGTTCCCCAGCTGGACTGCCCTCGGGGCCTGTCGGCCACGTTCTTACACTGCGGGCTCTGCATTTTTGTGGCGGCAGGAGCCGACCCCGCATTTTCACTAGCGGCTTTGAGCCACAGAAGGCAAGGTTAGCCACTCACGTGTCCCTGCTGAAACGCCTGGGGACATGTCCCTCACTCGGAACGCTGACAAAAAGACGGAGGCACCTGCCGGACCGCATAAAGACAGTCACGACGTGCACTCGCTCTCTGCGTTTCCCAGCCGAGGGCGGAAACCGCCCCCCTTGGGGTCTCCAAAGGAGCAAAGAACTACGCTCCAAAGCTCTCCGTCAGCCGCTTTCCCACTCCCAGAATTTACTCTTTCAAGGGCTTTGACTAAGCGTGGTGCGCAACAGAGCGCTTCTTACCAATTGACCGGGCAAATACTGACAACTCTGGCATGCAGAGCCGACGCTGCTGCGCCTGCAGCTGCTCCGCAGACCCCCGCCTCTGCCCAGCCACGCCGCCCGGTCACCAGCTGGCAGCGCTGCGCACAATGCGTGCCGGGATGGAAAAAGTGCCGCGGGTGAAGGACTGGACCTGCTGCCAATTGCCTAGAGCCCGGAAGTAGGTGGGGCCAGAACCGGAACTCCCTCCCACCTACCTACATAGGGAGGCGCCATTTTGTCGTAGTCCGTGTTCCACCCTGAGGAGCCGCCATTTCATGTTACTCCGTACCCCACGTGGTTTTGTACTGCTTAGGGCTCGGCTCCCCGGCTTGTTCCTTAACTCTTTCGTATTCCCAGGCCTCCCTCTGACTGCCTGCCCAATTCCCTTGCTCCGGGAAGCGCTCACATGAAAAAAAACTGATCCATTCCTACGCAGTCGCACCGGGCAAACACGTCCCGGTGCTGGCACTGGTGGCTGTCTCGTGTCTGACGCGGGGTTTCTGGAGACCAGCGGCACTAGGGGCACTTTGATCCCAGCTAACAACTCTGCCAG